AGCAATATGCCCCAGGCCAACCTTGTCAGGCGCCTGCATAGAAGCCAGGGCCCGACCGTCCGAATTGGGTCTAGACCCTTGCATCGGTCCAACAGGCATGTAGCTCCTTGACATACTCCGCCGAAGGAGGAACAGAAAACCCAGAGGCCGCGGACTGTCGGCGAAAGAAGGCACTCGAGGGACATCCAGCTTCAAGTGCGCCAAAGCCGTAAGGATCGCCGCAGTCGCGGGCTCATCGGAAACCGACTGAGACCCAACAGAGCCCACCGAACCAGACTCCGAGACCCTGGAGCTCAGGACATCAGAGCCCGGCCGAAATTGTGTGTCAGATGCAGCCACAGAGAGAGAATCATCATCGTACACCGACAAGGGGTCCAAGACTGGTCGGGCCACAGACCGGCCAGCACCAGCCTGAAGGTCGTGAAGGAGGGTCCGCATCTGAGCCAACTCCACAGAGAGTGAATCGACCTTCGAAGTCAGAACCCCACATCCAGAGGACTTTGACTTCTTCCGCCGAGGGTCATCACCCTGGGCACCCTCACGCTTGCGACTAGGGGGTCGGTCCACCAACAGGGCCGATTCGCAGTCCCCAGAATCGCCACTAGAAGGTCCGTCCAGGGTCCGCGCACAGGCCAGGGCATCACCACACAATTGGGACACGCACGCTCGGTCAGTGCCTCCCGCAGATGGTCCACACCAAGACAGGAGGGACACAGCACATGGCCATTGTCCTGCTGCATCGGGGCGAGACAGGACTGGCAGGTCAACAATTCAAGCATCCCAGCAAGTGAACGCGCAGGAGCAGTCGCCACTAAGTACAGGGGCACACCCGGTAGGGTCAGGTCGAGCAGAGACGGCACTAGCAACCCACAGAACACGCCGAACACACACGGGAAACAGCCAAGACAACAGGGTCAGGTCGAGCAGAGACGCCACTAGTGACCCACCGAACGCCGTACACGCGCAGGGAACAACCAAAATAACAGGGTCAGGTCAAGCAGAGACGCCACTAGTGACCCACCGAACGCCGTACACGCGCAGGGAACAACCAATATAACAGGGTCAGGTCGAGCAGAGATGCCACCATAACCCGCAGAAAACACGTGGAACACACGTAGGCAAACAGCCAATATAACAGGGTCAGGTCGAGCAGAAACGCCACCAGTGACCCACAGAAAAACACGTGGAACACGCGCAGGCAATTAGCCAAGACACAGGGTTAGGTCGAGCAGAAACGTCACCCGTAACCCCCCAATAGATTCAACAAAAAACTACCGAGCACAACGTGACGGCGAATAAGCAAGACAGACTTCTGCCTCCCTTGTCCACCCTCCTGACAGTACAGGTAGCGTCCTTCACTTTTTAATAATCGCACGTCTTTGTATTAATAAAGTTGCTTTCTGTAGCCTAGGGGTGTGCTGTTATGGGTCGCGTTCCGGTGCAACTGGCTCAGCTGCATGCCCTTTTTCTGTGGGTCCACGTCTGGACCCAGAATGTTGTGCACAACGGCCTACTGACCGTGCACAATGACAGTGTTCCACAGGGTAGGTTAGTGTGAGTTGTCCTGGAATCAAACTGTTCCTGCCCTGACCGCCACGAGTCCAGCGTCTTCTGCCTGGGCTGGCGTCGTGCCGCAGGAGAAAGCCCCAGTTGTGTGGCTTGGGAGCGCGATTGACGTGGATTATTCATGCCGCATAGAGTGGTACCCTTGGTGGCATTGCTCATGGTGTGCTAACCTCTATCCACGCTGAACAGACGTATAGCTAATACACCACAGATGGTTGCCCTAGCTTAACACATCACTCTGCTCGCTTCATCCCTGGAGTAGTGCCCATGGTGGCTCGCTCATGGTGTGCTACGTTCTGCTCACGCTGGACAGGCGTAATACTACTGCACCACAGCTGGTTGCTTAATAACATCACTCTTGGTGCCCATGGTGGCTCGCTCAGGGTGTGCCTCTGCTTCACTATATCAGCTGCGAGGGGATAGGCCCATGACAGCCCATTCCCCGGCGCTAGCATATGGAGTATACGCGGGTGCGGAGGCCTGGCCTTGGCGGTCAGGCTTTCCTCCCAGAGAGGATGGAGTACGCCTGTACACCAGCTTCCTCAGCGCTTGGCCAACGCTGCCAGTGTTTCCGCCAAGAATTTTTGTGAGGGGGGGACCGCGAGGGGGAGGGGGAATGTCGAGGTCCGATGCCCCATAAAAAAATGTCACGTACGTTTATTGCAATGATTTTTGTTAATACTTTTCACGAGGAGTTAGTGGACATGTGTGCCTTTAATATGAGCAGCCTTTGTGGGAATGGTTATATTCAAAGAATTAGAGTAAAATGAGTTTGTAAAACACCTGCGGAACCGTAGTTCTGAGCGGAGCTAGAGCAGAGCCAGAGGTCTTCAGAGATCTGACAAGTATTTGGTCTGATACTGGCTCACTCAGATTCAGAGGAGGAAGACACGCAGGTGTCCAGTGATGCAGACAGACATTGTTAGTGACAGGAGTCCGCGCCATAATAGTCCCCAGTCAGCCACAGTTTACGTCCTCCGTGGGGCCACCGCGGTAAAGAGGTCCGGCTTTTCGGAGTCAGCGGTAAAGAGGTCCGCACATTAAAAGCGGATGGCCGCTTTATGCTGTTAGTGTTACTTAAGGTAACATTGGAAAGAGAAGCCGCGGGGATGAACCGCCACAACCACAATGCACTTTTTAACATCAAGCGGACACCCGCTTTTAATGTGCGGACCTCTTTACCACTGATCCCAAAAAGCCGGGCCTCTTTACCGCGGTGTGTGGCCGCAGTGGAAACATTCTGCGAACGCCAGGCAGGGGACGTGGTGTAGGGGACAGGGGGATCATAACACCAGGGATGTGGTTGAATGTAGCGGGGATAAACAACCGCGGGGAACGCGGGAGACGCGGCAGAAGCCGCGGGAACAAACACACCGCTAATCTGCCTTTACGGACGGAGATGATGATGATGAAGGCAGTTCTTGAGAAGAGAATCCATAAAAGTGGATCAGAAATGTTGAAAAGGCTGTTGTCAGATCGTCTACAAAATAAACAAGTTCTGAGCCCATTCATTTAATCGCTCTGTTTCTAAACGATGAATTCTGGAGCCTCATTTCCACTGAGACAAACAGTATGCCACTAGGTCTTTTGAAAGGGTAATATTGAAACCAAAGTGCAGATTTCATGACTGGTAAACTATAAGCAGTGCCATCTTGATCATTGAAGGTCTAATACATAATACAAGTTCATATGGCCGCTGACCAGTGCTAAAATATTCTATATAAATTGGATCTGTGAATTTATTTCTATCTCAAATTGTATTTCATACTAAAGATAGTTCACATTGAATGTTGACAGTATTCCCTGAATTCAAAATACACTCTCAAACTACAGGTTTTTGAAATCTTTATACAATAATTTACATTTTCCAAAATGGCCACCACCTTGATGACGTCACAATATGCAAGTTAGATGACGAATCAACATCCATCCCAAAGTTTGGTTCATACTGAAGATATTTCTGATTTACAATATGCCTTAATCTCAAACCACTTTAAAGTTATAGCCTTTTGAAATCTTGAAATCAAAATTGTAAATTTTTGTGAAAAAAATGGGCTTAGTGCTGTGTGAAAATCTCTCTTCAATGGCCTGGGCTCCGCACCGTGCTCCTCTTTGCTGTCATCGTTTCAACATGTCCAGAAATTCAACTTTTTAGCACTAACCATGTTGTGGGTTTAGTCCATGGTTTTGTTAAGGATAAAATTAGCATACAGCACTTACAGTCACACTGCTAGCAATCAGACATGGATTCACATTTGTCAGGCTGAATGCTGTGATGCAGGAAACATGCCACGGAGATTGCCCCTTAGCCAATCAGGACGTAGAACACAATACGCTGGTTCTTCCTTAGCCAATCAGACTGCAAAAAGTGAACTGCTATTCATCTGAGGAGATGCCGATTCAGAATAGAGAGTAACACCTGTACGGAAGTTTCTGTTTTGGTGTTTGTACTTTGTAATTTTTTGACATCCTACATGTAATACATCATAGATTAGATAGTATTCCAGATCAGGTGTATGTTTTTGCACTTTTTGATGTGAGATACATGCATGTCTAAAAAAATTGAGGGGGGGATATCCCCCTCTAGGGCCATGGCTAGGGGGGGACTGATCCCCCCCATCCCCCCCTCTGGAGGAAACCCTGGCTGCTCATCTGCCAAGTACCTGGAGCCTCTCTCAGCGCGCCTCTCTCAGCGCGCCTCTCGTGCGCGCGCTGGAGTCTGCTCCGGGAGCGCTGTGCGCTCCCCGTGCCTTTGCCTCTCTTGGGCAGAGAGTGCGCGGCTGCACGCTACCCTCCTACGCTCTCTGTGCGCCACGAGCACCAGCTCACAGCTGTCCTGCCCTCACGCTGCTACCCGGTAAAAGCCAGGGCCGCAGCTAGGTCTCAGACCTTTTTCCAGCGGCCCCCCACTATCCAGAGCAATGAGTGGTACTGCTCGCCCCTCTGTCCACAGTGTTGGGGAGCGGGGGCTCGGCTCCACATAAGTGCAGCACATCTGCCCTCACGTGGCCACCCAGGAGAAGGGCCCAGGGCCGCAGCTAGGACCCAGCCCTCTTCCCAGGGGCCCCCCACTGCAAAAAGTGGGACTGCTCGGTCCCCTCTCAGTCCACAGTGTTGGGGAGCGGGGGCCCGGCTCCACGTAAGCGCAGCACACCTGCCCTCACGCAGCCACCCGGGAAAAGGGCCTAGGGCCGCAGCTAGGGCCCAGCCCTCTTCCCAGGGGCCTCCGAATGCAATAAGTGGGACTGTCGTCGGCGCCCTCTGAGTCCACAGTGTTGGCGAGCAGGGGCTCGGCTCCACGTAAGCGCAGAACATCTGCCGTCACGCGGCCACCCGGGAAAAGGCCCAGGGCCGCAGCTAGGGCCCAGCCCTCTTTCAAGGGGCCCCCCACTGCAATAAGCAGGACTGCTCGGCCCCTTACTCAGTCCACAGTGTTAGGGAGCAGGGGCTCGGCTCCACGTAAGTGCAGCACACCTGCCCTCAAGCGGCCACCCAGAAAAAGGCCCAGGGCCGTAGCTAGGGCTCAGGCCTTTTCCCACGGGCCCCCCACTATCCAATGCCCCCCAGGATGGGATATCTGTGGGCGGACCAGGCCTTTCTCCCTCCTCCCATCCCACTGTGCTTCCCTTGACCCATGTTGTCACCGTATCGGAACAGTCGGGGCTCCGGGGAACTCCGTTGATACCCCCCACTACCCCCCCCCCCCCCCCCCCCCCCCCCCCCCCCCCCCCCCCCCCCCCCCCCCCCCCCCCCCCCCCCCCCCCCCCCCCCCCCCCCCCCCCCCCCCCCCCCCCCCCCCCCCCCCCCCCCCCCCCCCCCCCCCCCCCCCCCCCCCCCCCCCCCCCCCCCCCCCCCCCCCCCCCCCCCCCCCCCCCCCCCCCCCCCCCCCCCCCCCCCCCCCCCCCCCCCCCCCCCCCCCCCCCCCCCCCCCCCCCCCCCCCCCCCCCCCCCCCCCCCCCCCCCCCCCCCCCCCCCCCCCCCCCCCCCCCCCCCCCCCCCCCCCCCCCCCCCCCCCCCCCCCCCCCCCCCCCCCCCCCCCCCCCCCCCCCCCCCCCCCCCCCCCCCCCCCCCCCCCCCCCCCCCCCCCCCCCCCCCCCCCCCCCCCCCCCCCCCCCCCCCCCCCCCCCCCCCCCCCCCCCCCCCCCCCCCCCCCCCCCCCCCCCCCCCCCCCCCCCCCCCCCCCCCCCCCCCCCCCCCCCCCCCCCCCCCCCCCCCCCCCCCCCCCCCCCCCCCCCCCCCCCCCCCCCCCCCCCCCCCCCCCCCCCCCCCCCCCCCCCCCCCCCCCCCCCCCCCCCCCCCCCCCCCCCCCCCCCCCCCCCCCCCCCCCCCCCCCCCCCCCCCCCCCCCCCCCCCCCCCCCCCCCCCCCCCCCCCCCCCCCCCCCCCCCCCCCCCCCCCCCCCCCCCCCCCCCCCCCCCCCCCCCCCCCCCCCCCCCCCCCCCCCCCCCCCCCCCCCCCCCCCCCCCCCCCCCCCCCCCCCCCCCCCCCCCCCCCCCCCCCCCCCCCCCCCCCCCCCCCCCCCCCCCCCCCCCCCCCCCCCCCCCCCCCCCCCCCCCCCCCCCCCCCCCCCCCCCCCCCCCCCCCCCCCCCCCCCCCCCCCCCCCCCCCCCCCCCCCCCCCCCCCCCCCCCCCCCCCCCCCCCCCCCCCCCCCCCCCCCCCCCCCCCCCCCCCCCCCCCCCCCCCCCCCCCCCCCCCCCCCCCCCCCCCCCCCCCCCCCCCCCCCCCCCCCCCCCCCCCCCCCCCCCCCCCCCCCCCCCCCCCCCCCCCCCCCCCCCCCCCCCCCCCCCCCCCCCCCCCCCCCCCCCCCCCCCCCCCCCCCCCCCCCCCCCCCCCCCCCCCCCCCCCCCCCCCCCCCCCCCCCCCCCCCCCCCCCCCCCCCCCCCCCCCCCCCCCCCCCCCCCCCCCCCCCCCCCCCCCCCCCCCCCCCCCCCCCCCCCCCCCCCCCCCCCCCCCCCCCCCCCCCCCCCCCCCCCCCCCCCCCCCCCCCCCCCCCCCCCCCCCCCCCCCCCCCCCCCCCCCCCCCCCCCCCCCCCCCCCCCCCCCCCCCCCCCCCCCCCCCCCCCCCCCCCCCCCCCCCCCCCCCCCCCCCCCCCCCCCCCCCCCCCCCCCCCCCCCCCCCCCCCCCCCCCCCCCCCCCCCCCCCCCCCCCCCCCCCCCCCCCCCCCCCCCCCCCCCCCCCCCCCCCCCCCCCCCCCCCCCCCCCCCCCCCCCCCCCCCCCCCCCCCCCCCCCCCCCCCCCCCCCCCCCCCCCCCCCCCCCCCCCCCCCCCCCCCCCCCCCCCCCCCCCCCCCCCCCCCCCCCCCCCCCCCCCCCCCCCCCCCCCCCCCCCCCCCCCCCCCCCCCCCCCCCCCCCCCCCCCCCCCCCCCCCCCCCCCCCCCCCCCCCCCCCCCCCCCCCCCCCCCCCCCCCCCCCCCCCCCCCCCCCCCCCCCCCCCCCCCCCCCCCCCCCCCCCCCCCCCCCCCCCCCCCCCCCCCCCCCCCCCCCCCCCCCCCCCCCCCCCCCCCCCCCCCCCCCCCCCCCCCCCCCCCCCCCCCCCCCCCCCCCCCCCCCCCCCCCCCCCCCCCCCCCCCCCCCCCCCCCCCCCCCCCCCCCCCCCCCCCCCCCCCCCCCCCCCCCCCCCCCCCCCCCCCCCCCCCCCCCCCCCCCCCCCCCCCCCCCCCCCCCCCCCCCCCCCCCCCCCCCCCCCCCCCCCCCCCCCCCCCCCCCCCCCCCCCCCCCCCCCCCCCCCCCCCCCCCCCCCCCCCCCCCCCCCCCCCCCCCCCCCCCCCCCCCCCCCCCCCCCCCCCCCCCCCCCCCCCCCCCCCCCCCCCCCCCCCCCCCCCCCCCCCCCCCCCCCCCCCCCCCCCCCCCCCCCCCCCCCCCCCCCCCCCCCCCCCCCCCCCCCCCCCCCCCCCCCCCCCCCCCCCCCCCCCCCCCCCCCCCCCCCCCCCCCCCCCCCCCCCCCCCCCCCCCCCCCCCCCCCCCCCCCCCCCCCCCCCCCCCCCCCCCCCCCCCCCCCCCCCCCCCCCCCCCCCCCCCCCCCCCCCCCCCCCCCCCCCCCCCCCCCCCCCCCCCCCCCCCCCCCCCCCCCCCCCCCCCCCCCCCCCCCCCCCCCCCCCCCCCCCCCCCCCCCCCCCCCCCCCCCCCCCCCCCCCCCCCCCCCCCCCCCCCCCCCCCCCCCCCCCCCCCCCCCCCCCCCCCCCCCCCCCCCCCCCCCCCCCCCCCCCCCCCCCCCCCCCCCCCCCCCCCCCCCCCCCCCCCCCCCCCCCCCCCCCCCCCCCCCCCCCCCCCCCCCCCCCCCCCCCCCCCCCCCCCCCCCCCCCCCCCCCCCCCCCCCCCCCCCCCCCCCCCCCCCCCCCCCCCCCCCCCCCCCCCCCCCCCCCCCCCCCCCCCCCCCCCCCCCCCCCCCCCCCCCCCCCCCCCCCCCCCCCCCCCCCCCCCCCCCCCCCCCCCCCCCCCCCCCCCCCCCCCCCCCCCCCCCCCCCCCCCCCCCCCCCCCCCCCCCCCCCCCCCCCCCCCCCCCCCCCCCCCCCCCCCCCCCCCCCCCCCCCCCCCCCCCCCCCCCCCCCCCCCCCCCCCCCCCCCCCCCCCCCCCCCCCCCCCCCCCCCCCCCCCCCCCCCCCCCCCCCCCCCCCCCCCCCCCCCCCCCCCCCCCCCCCCCCCCCCCCCCCCCCCCCCCCCCCCCCCCCCCCCCCCCCCCCCCCCCCCCCCCCCCCCCCCCCCCCCCCCCCCCCCCCCCCCCCCCCCCCCCCCCCCCCCCCCCCCCCCCCCCCCCCCCCCCCCCCCCCCCCCCCCCCCCCCCCCCCCCCCCCCCCCCCCCCCCCCCCCCCCCCCCCCCCCCCCCCCCCCCCCCCCCCCCCCCCCCCCCCCCCCCCCCCCCCCCCCCCCCCCCCCCCCCCCCCCCCCCCCCCCCCCCCCCCCCCCCCCCCCCCCCCCCCCCCCCCCCCCCCCCCCCCCCCCCCCCCCCCCCCCCCCCCCCCCCCCCCCCCCCCCCCCCCCCCCCCCCCCCCCCCCCCCCCCCCCCCCCCCCCCCCCCCCCCCCCCCCCCCCCCCCCCCCCCCCCCCCCCCCCCCCCCCCCCCCCCCCCCCCCCACCCCCCCCCCCCCCCCCCCCCCCCCCCCCCCCCCCCCCCCCCCCCCCCCCCCCCCCCCCCCCCCCCCCCCCCCCCCCCCCCCCCCCCCATTTTTTTATTTTATTAGAATAAGATAAAATACAGACAAAACAACAAAAACAAAAGCTATACTTTACTCATTTAAAACAATATCTTCAATCAGAAAATTTGAACCCAACAATTATCAGAACAGATTCTAAGTGATCTGATGGCAGAGGTCGCTGAGAGCAATATCTGGGAGTTTCAAATTGTTTTCTGAAATTTTTTTATATATAATATTTACATATTACATATTCCATTCATTTAGTTTGAAGTACTGTGCTTTTTGCAGAGATCTGCAGAGTGCTAAGATCATAATTAAAGATTTCGTCTGTTCAGGTTTGACAGTAAACACATAATAGTTGTTTAAAGAGAGTGAAATCATTACAGATAGTATATCTGCACATAAACAGCTTTTTCTCACTTAAAGGACACATTGTTCCCGTCATCAAAACACAGTCACCTGGATTTTTTTAAGGAATATGCAAATCCAAGTTTTCCAACTAGAAATACATTCATTTATTAAGCAAGGCAAGGCTATCTGCTGTTTTGACAGGGTCTGCCTGTATCTTCCTGTGCTACCACATCACACAAAGAAGTTGAATTTGTTTTTTTTTTTTCCCAATTTGAAATCTATCAGATGCATATTCCTTAAAAAAATCCAGGTCTGTGTTTGATGAGGGAACAATGTGTCCTTTAAGTGAGAAAAGCTGTTATTGCAGATAATACTATCTGTAATGATTTCACTTAAACACAATTATGTGGTTACTGTCAAACCTGAACAGACGAAATACTTGAATTATGAACTTAGCACTCTGCAGATCTCTGCCAAAAAGCACAGTCCTTCAAACTAATATGATGAATATGTAATATGTAAATAATATATATAAAAAAAATATTCAGAAAAACAATTTTGAAACTCCCAGCTATTGTCCAGCGACCCTGACCCTGGCATCAGATCACTTAGATCTGTTCTGTAAATGTGGGTCGAATTTTCTGATTGAAGATAAAGTTTTAAATGAGTAAAGAATAGCATTTGATTTTTGATGTTATGTCTGTATTTAATCATATTCTAATAAAATAAAAAATAGATGACCTGGCTCTCGACTCTCGACACATTTCTTCCTCCACATGAGGCGCAGCATTTGGAGCTTCCTTCACAGTCGTGGTCATGGACGCAGGTCGGTTCGCACCTCGCAACCAGACAAAGCCCTGGTTTGATTTGAACAAGGAGAAAAATCATTAGTATTAGTAAAATGTATCTCTTTTTAATAATACATTTTCCACACACAATTTAAACAGGATTACCTTTTATCAAAATATTTGCAGTACAATACATGGTTAACCCGCTTTTGTCATTACCTTTTCAGTTCTTGTATTTTGGGCAAGTGATATTATATATATTCATGGCATCTTTTGAAACCAGGAACCTTTTTGTGACTGTTGTTATTAAACATTTACTTATGTATCTATTCTTAGACTGATCTGCTGCTAATAACATTTATGGACATTGGTCATTCGCTCCTTATGGACCAACAGCTCTGTGTTATTCTGTTTTTATGGTTGCATTTCCTGTGTTTGAACTGTTTGATTCTCTGATCTGTGCTAGTGTATCCACAACTTTGTAAAATCATCCAAGTTTCAAGTTTAAACTATCAAGGACAATGTGCAGTTACATTAAAAGGATGATTGCACCATATTTAGCACCATGTCCTTGGCAATAAGTTAAGATAAAAGCCGCAGGACTATCTTACATAATGTAGAATACACAGCACGATAAAAGTGCAAGTTTCTCAAATACATATTGAAATACAGTTCAAGTGCAAGTAACCAACATCTATATAAAAAAGTGCAAGATAAGTACTGTTGTGATTTAGGACTATACAAAAATAAATTGAATTGAATTGATTTGACGTGCATAGTAGACTATAGAGCAGCCAGAAGGGTTAACCCTAACTCTCAGGGCCAAAGACAACATTCATGTTTTCGAGCTGAAGACACACTTTTCTAAATTAGCTTTTTAAATTAGCTTTCCACTAACATTCTCTGAATGTTAGTGGAAACAAGAAGTGACAATATGCTTTTTTTAGATTCACTATTCGATCATGTCATATCATTCTCGTCTGACAGTCCTTTCTATGGGCCAACATCCTGCATATGATTTTTAATACTGTAAAGCGGTGGTGACCTCTTTACACCTTCATGAGAACTTTGTGGCCGTTTATGTTTCAGGTCTTCTCAAGTCACAAAGCTCTGAGTCCAAGTCAGGTCTGAGTCAATGACATAGACTAGTCTGACTCGAGTCCACAATAACAATAACATGTTTGTTAGGTACAATATTAACGAGTGTCTTACTTGTCCTTAATACACAGGTGCTCCTCCCACATCTGTCACTGCAGCATCTCTCACCCCGACCACAGTGACCACAATTGTCACATTTTTCCTCTGGATTTGGACACGATCCCGGTTTGGGTTTGGGAATATGAATGGGGAAATCCATGTGGAGGAGATCTATGGAAAAAGATCAGTTTAATTTCTCCAGTGCACAGATCAGTAAAATAAGGAGAACTCAAGGTTTCCAATCCTCATTAACAAATAAATTAAATACATCCAAAATAGAGTTTAAATAAATTTACAAAAAGAGTCACTGGTTATAGTAGTACTAGTATTGTCCACTAGGACTTCAAACACACTTTGGAAAATATTAGGATCTTTTGGGAGAACACAGGTTCTGCAGTTGAAATGCGTGTCACATCACTTCATCTTCCCAAAACAGTCACTGTCCGAGCTGCACTTCCAGGGGCATGGCCAACGAAAGACTCAGATTTAATCAAAATCCAAGTTTTCCAACTAGAAATACATAATTTATTAAGCAAGACAAGGCTATCTGCTGTTTTGACAGGGTCTGCCTGTATCTTCCTGTGCTACCACATCACACAAAGAAGTTGAATTTGATTTTTTTTTTTTCAATTTGAAATCTATCAGATGCATATTCCTTAAAAAATCCAGGTCTGTGTTTGATGAGGGAACAATGTGTCCTTTAAGTGAGAAAAGCTGTTATTGCAGATAATACTATCTGTAATGATTTCACTTAAACACAATTATGTGGTTACTGTCAAACCTGAACAGACGAAATACTTGAATTATGAACTTAGCACTCTGCAGATCTCTGCCAAAAAGCACAGTCCTTCAAACTAATATGATAAATATGTAATATGTAAATAATATATATAAAAAAAAATTCAGAAAACAATTTTGAAACTCCCAGCTATTGTCCAGCGACCCTGACCCTGGCATCAGATCACTTAGATCTGTTCTGTAAATGTGGGTCGAATTTTCTGATTGAAGATAAAGTTTTAAATAAGTAAAGTATAGTATTTGATTTTTATGTTATATCTGTATTTAATCATGTTCTAATAACATAAAAAGTAGATGACCTGGCTCAGAGTGAGGCTCTCGACACACATTTCTTCCTCCACATGAGGCGCAGCATTTGGAGCTTCCTTCACAGTCGTGGTCATGGACGCAGGTCGGTTCGCACCTCGCAACCAGACAAGGCTCTGGTTTGATTTGAACAAGGAGAAAAATCATTAGTATTAGTAAAATGTATCTCTTTTTAATAATACATTTGCCACACACAATTTAAACAGGATTACCTTTTAGCAACATATTTGCAGTACAATACATGGTTAACCCGCTTTTGTCATTACCTTTTCAGTTCTTGTATTTTGGGCAAGTGATATTATATATATTCATGGCATCTTTTGAAACCAGGAACCATTTTGTGACTGTTGTTATTAAACATTTACTTATGTATCTATTCTTAGACTGATCTGCTGCTAATAACATTTATGGACATTGGTCATTCGCTCCTTATAGACCAACAGCTCTGTGTTATTCTGTTTTTATGGTTGCATTTCCTGTGTTTGAACTGTTTGATTCTCTGATCTGTGCTAGTGTATCCACAACTTTGTAAAATCATCCAAGTTTCAAGTTTAAACTATCAAGGACAATGTGCAGTTACATTAAAAGGATGATTGCACCATATTTAGCACCATGTCCTTGGCAATAAGTTAAGATAAAAGCCGCAGGACTATCTTACAGAATGTAGAATACACAGCGCGATAAAAGTGCAAGTTTCTCAAATACATATTGAAATACAGTTCAAGTGCAAGTAACCAACATCTATATAAAAAAGTGCAAGATAAGTACTGTTGTGATTTAGGACTATACAAAAATAAATTGAATTGAATTGATTTGACGTGCATAGTAGACTATAGAGCAGCCAGAAGGGTTAACCCTAACTCTCAGGGCCAAAGACAACATTCATGTTTTCAAGCAAAGACACACTTTTTAAATTAGCTTTTTAAATTAGCTTTCCACTAACATTCAGAGAATGTTACAATGTTAACGAGTGTCTTACTTGTCCTTAATACACAAGTGCTCCTCCCACATCCGTCACTGCAGCATTTCTGACCCCGACCACAGTGACCACAATTGTCACATATTTCCTCTGGATTTGGACACAATCCCGGTTTGGGGGCGGGAATATCAATGGGGAAATCTATGGAAAAAGATAAGTTTAATTTCTCCAGTGCACAGATCAGTAAAATAAGGAGCACTCAAGTTTTCCAATCCTCATTAACAAATCAGTTAAATACATCCAAAATAGAGTTTAAATACATTTACAAAATGAGTCATTGGTTATTGTATTGTAACTTAACTACTTGCCATAGTAGTACTAGTATTGTCCACTAGGACTTCAAACACACTTTGGAAAATATTAGGATCTTTTGGGAGAACACAGGTTCTGCAGTTGAAATGCGTGTCACAGCACTTCATCTTCCCAAAACAGTCACTGTCCGAGCTGCACTTCCAGGGGCATGGCCACCGAAAGACTCAGATTTAATCAAAATCCAAGTTTTCCAACTAGAAATACATCATTTATTAAGCAAGGCAAGGCTATCTGCTGTTTTGACAGGGTCTGCCTGTATCTTCCTGTGCTACCACATCACACAAAGAAGTTGAATTTG